ATGTTTTTTTCTGAGAACTGAAAGAATAAATATTGTACTTTATCTATTGTTTCCTAAAATAATTTTTTTAAAATTCCCAGCTAGGTATATATGTTTTCCAAATTATATCCCACCCTTTATGCTTTTCGGGGGCCAATACTATATTCAAATGGTTTTTCAAATAAATAAGAGCTTATGAGACAGTATGATCTGGTTTTTGTTTTGTTGTTGTTTTTGGTTTGGGTTTTTTTTTCCCCCCATTGTTATTTGAAGCATTCCTACCTGTATTTGGTTCAGCACTTATTCATATCACTAATAAGCAAAAATATGTAACTTTACTATATGTCTAGGCTTACACACGATGCTCAAAGGAGAGCCACAGAATAAACATCCCTGAAAGACCACACTTATAAAAGTCGAATAATAAAAACAGTATAAAAGATTATGTGAATGACCTGATCTACAGAGCCAACAGAAGTGAGAGACCACATTTAGGGAAGAATAATGGAAGGCTGCTTGGGAATGCAGAACCAAGCGGGGGGACCTGTGCAATGAGTACACAGATGGACTTGCAGAACTGTTTTACTAGAAGAACATACATTTGTCAAAAACTCACAGAATTGTACACTAAAAAGGGTGCGGTTTACTGCATATAAATTCTAAGTTAATTAAAATAAGAAAATACCCTCATACAAATGACAACTTGGAAGACAGTTTGGCGGCTTCTACAAAATTTTAAACACACGTGCCCAATGATTTAGCAATTTCACATCTTGAAACACATTTTCCAGTTATATCTATAGAGCATGCAGTATACATTATAAAAGAGGATACTCATTGTAGCACTAGTTATAAAATTAAAAACCATTTTTTAGTGAAATAATGTTTACTAATTAATTACTTAAGTACAATGTTGTAAGTCTAATACCAAACACTAAGGACTCTAAACATCCAAAACTGATTTCTGTGAGACAAGGTGATTTGCACAAACATGAAGGTCACAAGCAATTGAATGTGGTGGCTCACACCTGTAATTCCAGCTGCATTGGAGACTAAGATAGGAAGATTACCCAGTTCAAGGCCAGCTTGTGCAACTTTAAGACCTTGTCTTATAATAAAACTTAAAAAGGGATGGGACTATAAATTCAGTAGTAAAGCCCTTGCCTGACATGTAGTAGGCCAGAGGTTCAAACCCTAGCACTGCAACAAAAAAGGTTATAAACAATGTCTCAACCTGTAATAAACTCACTCACTACAAACAATCCACTCAAAAAAACTGCCAAAACAGTCAATAGAGACTTGGCATTTTGCTCTCCCAGCTTTACTGACTTATCCTCCAGGTATTTGAATTTGTAAGAATTTTGAAGTCTGAGGCTTGATATGTTTCATAACCACTCCATTTACCCACCACGGACACCCATGTATCCTGTGATCTAACTCTTGTGTGTTATCTGTTGACTTAACTTTTGAGTTTGGTTTCTAGAAGTAAAAACATGCAAAGAGAGAGAAGAACCCATGGAAGAGCATATTCATTTTAATAACCAGATGGAAACCAAACAAAAGTAGAGGGCTTTTTGTGCAAATCGCAAAGACCTTCAAGGAAAGACTAATAAATTCTACACTTCTTTTTTTTTTTATATTTATTTTTTAGTTGTAGTTGAACACAATATCTTTATTTTATTTATCTATTTTTATGTGGTACTGACGATCAAACGCAGGGCCTCGCATGTGCGAAGCAAACGCTCTACCGCTGAGCCACAATCCCAGCCCCAGTAAATTCTACACTTCTCTATTAAACAAATTTAAAAGTCACTATTAAAATTATTTTAAATCAGGGGTTGTGGCTCAGCGGTACAGCGCTCGTCTCCCATGTGTGAAACCCTGGGTTCGTTCAATCCTCAGCACCACATAAAATAAAATAAAGGTATTGTGTCCACCTACAATTAAAAAAATATTTTTAAAAGATTCTTTAGGGGCTGGGGTTGTGGCTCAGTGGTAGAGCACTCGCCCAGCATGTGTGAGGTGCTGGGTTCCATCCTCAGCCCACATAAAAATAAATAAATAAAGGTATTGTGTCCAACTACAACGAAAAAAGAACCCAAAATATTCTTAAAAAACTCTTTTAAATCAAATGACAAAAGTGGAAATACTTATGGACAAAGGATAAATACCTTTAATATTCAAGAAGTTCTTATCAAGGGCGGGGGTTGTGGCTCAGTGATAGAGCGCTTGCCCAGCATGTGTAAGGCACTGGGTTCTATCCCTGGCACCACATAAAAATAAACAAATAAAATAAAGGTATTGTGTCCATCTACAACTTTTAAAATATTGTTTAAAAAAGTTCTTATCAACAAATAATAAAAAATAAGAAACCAGATTTTAAAATGCATAAGGAACCAGGCATAATAGCACATGCTAGTAATCCCAGCAGCTCAGGAAGCTGCCTCAGCAAAAACGTGAGGTGCTAACCAACTCAGTGAAACCCTGTCTCTAAATAAAATACAAATTAAGGCTGGGGATGTGGCTCAGTGGTCAAGAGTTCAATCCCCAGTACAAAAAAACAAAATGAAACCAAAAAAAAAAATGCATAAGAAATTCACAGAAGAGCTAAAAGTAACCATGGCAAGCATAATTATAATTTTTTTAAACATTTATTTTTTAGTTGTAGGTTGACACAATACCTTTTTTTTTTTAATGTGGTGCTGAGGATCAAACCCAGTGCCTCATACATGCTAATAAGCAAGTGCTCTACCTCTGAGCCACAACCCCAGCCCATAATTATAATTTTTAAAAATAAATGCTCAAATAAAAAAAAAACAATGATATATGAATTTATCTAGAAGAAAAAGTAAAAACAAAGGCAGGCAAGAGTCCTAATGACAAGTATTGGTGGGAGAATCTGTCCCTCATACATAAAAATGCAGGGCAAAGGATTTTCAGTATCTAAAAAGTAAATAAAGGGGTGAATGGATTAGCTCAGCAGAAGAGCACTTGCCTGGCATTTGCAAGGTCCTAGGTTCAAACCCCAGCATTACAACAAAAAATTTTATATACCATTTCATTTCAAGGGAGTTGTGACTTTAAAAACATAATATATGTGCAGATTTTCTGTCAGCATCTTTTGTAATGCCAAAAAAAATGGCAATACCTAAAACTCTATCATTAGGAGACTGGAAAAGGAAATTATACATCCATCTGGGGGGAAAGACACTCATACATTGCTGATGGGGCTGCAAATTGGTGCAGCCAATATGGAAAGCAGTATGAAGATTTCTTGGAAAGGGAATGAAACCACCATTTGATCCAGCTATCCCTCTCCTATGTCTACAACCAAAGGACTTAAAAACAGCATACTACAGGGACACTGCCACATCAATGTTTATAGTAACACAATTCACAATAGCTAAACTGTGAAACCAACCTAGATGCCCTTCAGTAGATGAATTGATAAAGAAAATATGGCATATATACACAATGGAATATTACTCAGCATTAAAAGACAATAATATCATGGCATTTGCAGGTAAATGTATGAAGTTGGAGAATATAATGCTACGTGAAGTTAGCCAATATCAAAAAACAAAGGCCGAATGTTTTCTCTGATAGAAGGATGCTGATTCATATTGGGGATGGAGGGGGGAACCATGGGAAGAATGGATAAACTCAGATAGGGCAAAGTGGAGGGAGGGGAAGAGAGAGGGAGTGGGGGCAGGAATGAGATGGACATCATTACTTTAAGTACATGTATGAAGAGTACATGTATGAAGACACAAATGGTGTGACTCTACATTGTACAACCAGAGATATGAAAAATATGTATATATGGCTATATATGTAATATGAATTGAAATGCATTCTGCTGTCATATATAACAAATTAGAATAAAGTTTAAAAAAAGAAATTATACATCCATGGAAAGAAAAGAACAATAATGTCACAAAACAGAATGAATTCACTCTATTTATGTAAAAATGCCAGTCATATACTGTTGAGAAAGAAGTGGTTACAAAATAACATGTGCAGTGTGCCACTGCATGAGAAGTGTTCCTGAACCTTGCAAGCCAGGTATGAACAAAAGAAATGCCCTGAACAGTTACAGTATGCATATAGAATGAAGGAGAAGAGGCGGCATTCATTGTCTACATTACACAGTCTGATTTTTTTTTTTTTTTTGGCCAGGAGGTATTTGGGTGGTGGTACTGGGGGTAGAACCTAAGGTTCTCTATCATTGAGTCACATCCCCAGCCCATTTAGGTTATTATTTTGAGAGAAGATTCTCACTAAATTCCTTAGGGCATCGCTAAGTTGCTGAGGCTAGCTTTGAACTTTGAAGCCTTGTGAGTCACTGCAATTACAGGCATGTGCCACCACTCCCAGCTTTAATTTTTATTTTAAGGCAGGGTTAGGTAAATTGCCCAAGCTGGCCTCAAACTTAAAATCCTCCTGCCTCAGCCTCCCAAGTAGCTAGGACTGCAGGCATGTGCCACTATGCCTGTGGCATTTCGTTTTTTAACAGTAAAAATATTTTACTTTATTTTAGAAAATAGATCTTAGTGTACAGTTGTGACAGGAGAAAGAAAACTAAGTCTTGCTAGGAACGATCTGTTTTTAAAAATGCAAAGCTTTGAATTCTTCTGGTACATAAAGTACCCAGATCAGCTTTAAAAGAAACTACCAAAATGTAGCTGTTTGCTAGACTCCGTGGCCACCTGGGCTAGATGACTTCAAAGGGATTCAACAATCTCAAGGAATAAGCATACCACATTAAAACACAAGTTCAAAACCACTAACGATCTTAAAGCTATACTTACAGACAGATATAGCCGTAAAACTCAAAATCTCTGAAGTCACAAATGAATAACTGATGAGAGAAATCATTTCCCACTGCTATTTGTTATGCTTCTAGGGCTGGAAGGGCTCATAACTCTACTCTTAAAGTTGCTTCTTGCACATGAGGATGAGAATACTTGAATTTCAAAATATAGGTTTTCATAGGACTTGAAACCCAAAAGAAAACGTACCTTCTAAGAGCATTTCTGGAATGTCTGCTTGGTATCTAGGACCCACTCTGATTTCACCTTTGTCAGCTAATAGTGTTTTCACTGAGGGGTCATAGACCAAGGAGTAGAAAAAGGTATCCTGAAAAAAATGACAGAAAATACCTAGGTAAACTTAATTCCTTTTACTGTTTGTAGAGCAATAAAATCAATGTCGCAATAATAAAAGCATAAAACTTCAGAGAATATATAAAATTTCCTTCATGTGAACAAATTCATAAGTCTTTAAGGAGAGCACAGTGTTATTGTCATCATGTATAATAGTGCAGAATTTTAAAAAGCAAAAGAAATAGCTTTAACTAAAGTAGATTATAAGGTTTTATTATTTGTTTTAGGTTTTTTTTAATACCTTTATTTTATCTATTTTTATGTGGTGCTGAGGATCAAACCCAGTGCCTCACACATGCCAGACAAGTGTGCTACCACTGAGCCACAAGCCCAGCCCTATTTGTTATATTTTGAAAGAGAAAAAATTAACTGCTCTAAAACAGAGTTTTGGAAAGCTAGCAAAGTTAAACCAAAACTCAAAGGTCAGACACCTAAAATCAAGTATCTTCTAACCTCCAATGTCTGCACCAAGTAGCAGGCTGTCTTCATGGACACAGGCACTCTAATTGTTTAAGTGTCCATACTACATTTTATTCAAAATATTAAAAGACACACACATCTCACATTGACTACACTGTGTAAGAGTTGAATTTACATGTAGTTTATGAATATTACAGTAGAAATTTAATTGAATACTTACTAATTATAATTCTGCAGTTCTCTTTTAAATTCTGAAATACAGGTATGTGTACAGACAGGCATACAAACATAACTAAACACACCACCCACCAATAGAACACATAAACACTCCAATGGTCCCTTAAGAAGCTCAAATGCCTAGAGTTACGGGGCTTAATGGAGAAAATGACCTGGCCACCAGTACTGTACTAAATTCTGAAGAGCCACTGGAGTCTAAACCAGCAAAGTCCTATCCTCTGCTTCCCATTAGGATCAAGAGATCATGTATTGTAAAATTCTCTGCATTCTATGCTAGAAGGGCTTATCCCTACCATCAGCATGTTACCGAGATCAGCCAAGCAAGCTGCAAATAAGAGATAACTACCAGACCATGAAGTGACTCCTTTTAGGGCTCTTACATACTATAGTAAGGACAAAGGGGAAAAAATAAAGTTATTCCATTCACTGAGAAATTCCACATGATATTTTAACCATGGATCACTGTCAGGAGAAAAGATTAAACAAGTGCTAAAAAGTGACACTAATATGTGATATTTGTGCATATTTTAAATGTTATCTAAGAAGTAAAATCTGTAAGAAAACATAAAAAACCATCCTCCTTAACAGAGTAAGAGGGGATGATCACTATGTACTCAGGGTTCTTTGTTTTGCTTTCTAGACAAAAACAATAAAGCATATTACTCAGTATCTGAAAACACTGCTAATGGCTCACCATGAAATTTAAAACCAGAGATACCTAAGGTCCCTTTTAATCTGTAAAACTCATTAACATGGTGATCCAATAAAAAAGAATTTTAGGGGACTGGGGTTGTGGCTCAGAGGTAGAGCGCTTGCCTAGCATGTGTGAGGCCCTGGGTTCCAGCCTTAGCACCACATGAAAATAAATAAATAAAAGGTATTGTGTCCGACTAAAAATAAATATTTTTTTAAAAAAAGGATTTTAGGCGCAAGGGTTGAGCCCAGAGGTAGAGTACTTGCCTAGCATGTGTTCAGTCCTCGACAACACACACACACACAAAGAAATGAGTATACTTAGAGTCAAACAGTTGTTTAAAATCCTTAGATCTGTGTGTACTGATACAGGAAAATATTTGAAATATGTTTAGACTATATTATAAAAAAAAGTTAAGAACATTTAGGTCAGCCAATTTCATGAACAGTTAAAAGTAAAGGATAATGATTACAAAGCTGTTCTTTGAGTTAACAACTTCAAATATGTCAATCTCAATATTTTATGCACTATTTATTTATTTTAGTGGCACTGGGGAATTGAACCCAGAGCACTCTACCACTGAGCTACATCCCCAACCCCTCTTTTTTTTTGGAGACAGGGTATCCTACATTGTTCAGGCTGGCTTTGAATTTGTAATCCTCCTGCCTCAGCCTCCTGAGTAACGAGGATTACAGACATATGACGCTGTCCAGGCTCAGTATTTTATTTTTTTAGTGGTAAATGCACACAATATCTTTATTTTTGTTTATTTTTTTATGTGGTGCTAAGGATTGAACCCAGTACCTCATGCTTGCGAGGCAAGCACTCTACCACTGAGCTACAATCCCAGCCCCTCAGTGTTATTAAATGACTAAAAAACCAAAACAGATCTTTCAAGGATGATCTTGTAATAGACAAGAGAGCAAGTCTAAATCACACACACAAAAAAACTGTTTTTCAAATCAAAAAGTATATGAGACAAGCAGTATTATTTTCCTAATTTTTTCCTCCTGCAAAGAGAGAGAGAGATTAATTCTTCCTAGCCCAAAGATTGAAATGGAGCAAGTGGTGAAAAATCAAATCAGGTATCAGGTAAGATGATAAAGATCTTTTCTAAGTTTCATCAACTAAAGTCCTTAAGCAAATACAATAAATGAGAAGGGGGGAAAAATCAATTTAAAAATTCCTCTTATCCAAATACACCAATAAAATACACTGAAACATACTGAATGTCTTGCCATTTTATTTCTTCTTCTCTGAACTAATGTTAATTTCTGAGCATTATTTTTTTAATATTTATTGTTTAGTTATAGTTGGACACATATCTTTATTTATTTATTTTTATGTGGTGCTGAGGACCAAACCCAGAGCCTCACACATGTTAGGCGAACGCTCTACCACTGAGCCACAATCCCTGAGCATTATTATTATTCCATCATTTTGTACAGACTAATGACAAAAATCTACCATCTTTTTTAAATTTCACAAGCATAAGTTATAAAGGCTGTTACATTTTATCCACTTTGAAAGTTTTTTTGTGTGTTTTCTTGTGGTATGTGTTTTTTTTCTTTTCTAGTTTTTTAAAATAGATTTTCTAGTGAACAATAGCTCCCTTGTTTATATTAAAGTTTTTATGTTATATTTTCTTCTTCTGAGATAGGAACAATGCTTTTGAGTATAGAAGAAATACTTTTTAAAAGAAAATATGTCTCTAATTCTTTTTTAAAAATACAGTTATGTAATAAAGAATAGGGGTGATGAGGTTGTAGCTCAGTGGTAGAACGCTTACTTAACGTGTGAAGCACTAGGTTCGATTCTTAGCACTACATATTAAAAAATAAAGATCCATTGACAATAAAAAATATATTTAAAAAAAAGAATGGGGAAGGGCGAAACAGTGGTGCTTCTTTAGGAGACTGAGGCAGGAAGATCATAAATTTGAAGCCAATTTGGGCAATCTAGTTAGACTTTGTCTCAAATAAAAAGGGTTGAGGTATAGCTAAGTGGTACAGTACCCTGGGTTGGAAGGAAGGAAGGAAGGAGGAAGGAAGGAAGGAAGGAAGGAAGGAAGGAAGGAAGGAGAGAATGGGGTGGGGAGTATTAAAAAAAGAGAGATTAAACACTAAAACATTAATAATAGTAAAATATATTCCCATAATACTAATGATATTATTTTAAATGTTATCTAATCTTATGTATACAATAGAACATTCTGTTTATAAGAGCTTCCTCCTTCCAATGAAGTACATGTTCTATCTAATTCAATCTGTTAAATGTTTCTTGTTGAGGTTCAGAGAAAGAAATATTATTAATTGACAAACTTTATTAGGATTCCAGAAAAGGAAACAAACCAACAATGGCAAAATCTCATCTGGAAAGAATCTAAAAGAAAAGCCATTTATTTAAAAAACAAAAGTAACAGAGTATACTGAAGTATTCATTTGTTAAAGCCAAAATATAGGAAATAAGTATACCAAACAAGTACACTAAAGTATCTATTTATTTAAACCAAAAGTATTTATCTAACTTGTGAAAGCCTTTCACTGGTGACTAAAAAAACAAGGCAGAGTTTTTGCTCTTACCTCAATTAACCAGGGAAATGAAATTACACAAACACATTCTAGTCATTACACCTTTACTGTAACACTATAATGGTGTAATAATGATTTGGTACAAAAGGAAATAAAAACAAAGATATGGGCTTCACATGAAATAAAGAGGGAAAAACACACAGAACAGGAATGACTATGAATTACCTCTTTCTCAAGATATGACAATACTGATTCTGTCTCATTCAGAAGAGCAACACTGCATTTTCCCCTGTTGGAAGATAAAAACATGAATAAGTGTCAGTCTGTCATCAGTTACCTTCACAGTGATGGCACATGCAAAGCCAGGAAGACTAAAAGGCAGGAGTAGGATTAAAACTAGGTGGCAGTTTTGAAGTTCTCCTTGAAAAAATGAATTTAATAAAAAAAAAAAAAGAAAGAAAGAAACTAGATGGCAGTTAGGAGTATATTTAAATGCATATATTTAGACCACTTATACCTGCTTTTCAACGCTAGTGCTGGGTAACATACAAAAAAAGGGCTGACTTTGTAGGTATTTAGAGAGATCAGGCCATGACAGAAACTGTATGAGTGATAAATACTAACAACTTGGAACATTTTATTTCCTAATTAATAATGGAGGGAAGTGGATACAAAGACCTCAGACTGAGTTTCTTAATCTATAAATAGATATTATAAGGTAAGTTTATATAAGAGATCTTCAGACAAAAACAGCACTATACAAACCAGTGACTAAAATAATATTCAGATTTCTTAAGTAGTCACTCCATATAAGAGCCAAAAAATAATATACCTTCATATAAGGATATAACTAATTTACCTTTATTGAAACTGCTCTACAGACTAGTTAAAATTTAAACACAAGAAACTTCCAATAGAATAAGAGACAACATAAAGATCCATAAATTCACAAACCTTGAAGTCTGGAAGCATTTATTTTTCTTTCTTTTTGGGGTGTGTGTGTGTATGTGTACGCACGCTGAGAATTGAACTCAGGCCTTATGCCTGATACACCCTAGCTCTGGCACTTACCTTTGATCAGAGGCCTGGACCTGACTTCAGATATGAAAATCTATTTTAAAAAGGCTTGCCAACACTTCAAGAAAAACTAAGATTATCTAGGTAGAAGTATTATTACAACCACTTATAAAAATTATTCTCACCAGCTTCAAAATTTTACTCTATCTCCCGATCTGCTGGGAAATTAATAATGGAGGGAAGTGGATACAAAGACCACGAATTATTCATGTTAGAAGCAATGATTAGGGTTTACAAAGTATCTTTGGGTGGGGGCTGGCAAAAAATATCTTTAAATGTCATAACATCAGACTGTCGATATAGTTCAGGGTAGAGAGCTTGCCTCACAAGCAATGACCTGAGTTTGATCCCAAGTACCACAAAATTAAAAACACACACACACACACACAAAAAAAAAAAACACTAAAAAAATGTCATGATATCATTTGATTTTTCTAAAAAAAAAAAAAAAAAAGAAGTTACAACAGCTTCAAAAACCAACATGCAAAAACAAATACTCCGGGGCTGGAGATATAGCTCATATAGCTTAGCTGGTAGAGTACTTGCCTTACATGCACAAGGCCCTGGCTTCAATCTCCAGCAACACATACACACACACACACACACACACACACACAAAAATACACCACATATACATTAAGCAGGAAAGAAGAACAGATGCTTTTGGATTACAAAAGTACAATTCAAAGTAAAACAACTAGTGGGCTGGGATTATGGCTCAGCGGTAAAACGCTCACCTACCATGTGTGAGGCCCTAGGTTTGATCCTCAGCACCACATAAAAATAAATAAAATAAAGATATTGTGTCCAACTACAACTAAACAATAAATATAAAAAAAAGTAAAACTACTGAGAGCAAAGCAAAATACCAAAATTAAACTAACATATTGATTAAAAGGTACATTTTCTAAGAATTCTCCAACTCTATACTCATTTTTTTTTTACTTATCATAAAAACATCTTTCTCAGACAATCATCCTAGGTTAATATAACTTAGAAATATTACTCTGAGGATATATAACATTACACATTATACTAGTTAATCTCTTTTTTGGTTCCTGGAAGAGCTATAAAGATTTCTATTTACCTAATATATTTTATTCACACATTATTAGTGAATGCATAAAAATTAGCATTATTCCTTCAACACATATAACACTCCAAGTCAACACACACCTGACATTCCCTTACAAGGGACAGAACCACATACAGAGACATTACTCTGGTACATCAGCACATCAACAGAGAACTTCCATGCGCTTACACATGCAGCATGCTGAGGCAATAAGTGGAATTTCTGAAAAGAGTCTGAAATACTTTTTTTTTGCTATACTGACAAAGCAATATTTTTAACATTAATTTCATTAAGTAACATTTAATACTGAATCATGTTTGGATATGGTGGTGTACTCCTTAATCCCAGCAACTTGGAAGGCTGCGGAGGACTGCCAAGTCCAAGGCCAGCCTCAGCAACATAGCAAGCAAGCCCCTCAGGATCCTGTCTCAAAAATAAAAAAAATAAAAAGGACTAGGGATGTCGTTCAGTGGGTTCTAGCTTCAGTATCAAAAAAAAATTTTTTTTAACTTTTTCTTTGTGCCATACCAGACTTACTGAATCCCATTCTCTTGGAGATGGGTCCAGGAACCTACACAATTAATAAGTGATCCCTACATGGCCAAACTTAAAAACCAACTTCTGGCTGAGAGTGAAATTTACATGCCTGGCATATGCAAGGCCCTGGATTCAATCCCCAGTACCACAAAAACAATAAAAAATAACTCCTGTAGATGTAGAAACAGACTTTAAATTCTCCATGTTCAACAAAAGCCATTATTTCTTCATTTTTTAAAAAAGCCATTTTTACATTGGCTCTGAGTTTTAAATTTGCCAGAAACTCTGGATTCTGAACATTTTTCATATAAAGAAAAATCTCAAAATACTACATACTGCGATTGGACATTTAAAGAATAGACAGTTTCATCCAGCATTTAGTCCCCTGAATACAATGAACAACCAAACAAAAAAATGACGAAGTTCAAAGATCAAAAATGCTTTCAGAAAATTAGACATCACAACAGAAACACTTTAAAATGGACTAAAGGGGAAATGAGGAAAATGATTTCCAAACCAGAACTCTGTATCTAAACAAATCCTGAGCCAAGGGTGAAATACATACACATTCAGATATGCAAGCAGTAAAAAGTTTTATATGTTGGAAAATCAAAAGGAAAAGGCAAAACAATGATAACTCCAAAGAAAAGAAAAGGTTATACAAGAAAGAATATGTAAGAATATTTACATGTTCATAACATAAAAATTGGTTAAGTTAAAAAAAAAAGTCATGGAAATTCTGGAAACACAGGGAAAGGAAATAGGAAAAAGAAGTGAAATTTCTAAGACTGAAAAATTAATAGTAGCAATTAGATTGATAAATACAGAAGAGTGGGAAATGATTACAGAGTGGGAACCATCTTGTATATTATTAGACAATTATATATTTAATTTTTTTAGATAATAAAATTAAATTTAAAATGAAAGGGGGATCTTAACTAGATAAAGTGCATAGAACTGTATGAATACTATACCAAGGGACCAAGGACAGCTGACAATGATGACTCTACATCAGGCCTTCTTGGATCCTAGCACTACAGCCAGGGTTGTGCATCCCTGGCCTTTCTCTACTAGATGACAGTCATACCTTCACACCCCGTTTTCATACTTGTTAATGAATAGAAACGAAAATGAGGCAACTGGCTCTTGTAAATAGGTAAAGTGGAGAATGAAAAGCCAAAAAAGAGAAGTCTCAATTAATATAACAGGTCTGTGGTTTTCTGAAGAAAAAGGAATAATAAGCAGTGTTTTAGGAAGCCCATTCTGTCCGTAACATGGAAAATACTGACTTGATAACAAATATGAAAGAAACTGTCAAAGAGGAAACAAGAGGATAAAGACCTTGTCTTGATGCTACCCTTCCCTTTCAATAAGACTATCCTGGGGCTGGAGCTGTAGCTAAGTGGCAGAGCGCTTGCCTAGCTCATGTGAGGCACTGGGTTCCAACCTTAGCATCACATAAAAAAAAATGAACAAATAAAATAAAGGCATTCTGTCCATCTATAACTACAAAAAAAAAAAAAAATTCAAAAGAAGAAGAACCGTCTTATAAGAAGAAGTGGAATGTTCCAGAGATACCAATAGAAGTAGGAAGATAGATTCTCATCTCCAGAACAGAGTAACAAAGACACTGTTCTTTGTTTTGTTTGTTTTTTGTTTTTGTGGTGCTGGGGATTAAACCCCAGGTCCTTGTGCATGAGAAACAAGCACTCTACTGAGCTATATCCCCAGCCCAAGATATTGTTCTGACAGGGGAAAAATCTTAGTCCCACAACACGTGGAACACCAATACTGATGACAATATATTGGATACGCTTTGCATGCAACCCAGTCCTCCTCTGCACTGTGATGCGAATAAGAAACACTTCAATCCACAAGCCACTAAGATGTCAAACGAAAGATTATGTAGAAAAACACAATATTCAAAAAAAGCATGCTAAGAGCTGGGGACAAAGCTCAGCCAGTAGAGATCTTGCCTAGCATGCACAAGGCCCTAGGTTGGATCTTTGGTACTGCTGCTTAAAAAAAAAAAATGTGTGTGTGCTTAACTAGTAAACTAGTAGACTTTAATTTTCTTTTCTTTTCTTTTTTGAACTGTGACATGAGTTTTCTTTACTTACTATATTTTCCCTTCACTCTTCCTTCTACTAACAATCCTAAGATCCTAATAGGCATACTAAATAACTTCCTCATGTTGAATTCATTTCTTGAGTAGCACTATGTATATTCACCAATGGGTACCAGATTGGCTAATTCGAATTTTGTTTACAGATTACAAAAAATAAATTACAAAATTTAACTTTTTAACTTTTTTGTTGTTGTTACTGGGAATTTAACTCCACCACTGATCTATATCCCCACCCTTTTTATTTTAAAATAGGGTCTTGCTAAGTTGCTGAGGCTATCCTTGAACTTGCAATCTTCCTGCCTCAGCCTCCTGAGTTTCTGGGATTACAGGCATGTGCCACCATGGCTGGCAAAATCTAACTTCTTAAAATAAAAATATCAGCATAATAAAATGTGAAAAAAGAAAACTACCTTCATTAGCGCCTTTTAAAAAAAAGATTCCAGGAGCTGGGGTTGTGGCTCAATGTAGAGTG